GATTATGTCACACTTGTTATAATTAACTAATCTATCTAACTTTCTCAACTTACATAAATTAATTAAGTAGATCTTATATTAAAGACAATAGAGGAGTAAGTTCTCTTCCTATTTATTCTCTCTTCACTCTCTCCCTCCATTGTGCCTAAGGTTTTAGTGCTTTTCACCAATTTTAAGTAATTTTCTAATCTACATAATTTTGTTATTTTTATCTTCAATTGATGATGCTCTTTTTAATTCATCCAACATTATACAGTATTTTTTCCCCAAGTGCTTGAAGTATTTTATCATTCAATTTTGCCTTTAAAGTATTTTTTAGGAGTTATTTTATTTTTGTCATTAACTTTCAAAAGGTTGATACATCCAACACTATAAAAAAATTTTATAATAACCTAACGTAATTTTTTTTTCGTGTACTTTTGTCTTAAATTAGAGGAGGAAGCAGCTAAAGAGCAGAGGGAACAGAATATAATAAATTACAATTCATGAAGTGAAGGTTTGGAAGTAAGCAATACAAAAAGTCTTGAGAATTTGTGTAAGCAATCCAGTTATGAGACAACTTATTAAAAGGAGTTAGGTGGCTAATCCGAAAAAAATTATGAGACAGCTTGACATAAAGATAAAATTCATGGGTGCCTTCATAGTCAAAGATAACTACCAAACGACCAACCAATGAAATGCCAGTGGACCTATACTGAGGAAACAGACAATGAAAGCTTTGAAATTTGGTTCCATTCCCATTTTTGGTGGAAATTTTCCAGTAAATAGGAGCAATGGTTCCTCCAAAATATCAAGAGGGTGGTTGCTTCCCATTTCTATCGTTCAAACTCACGCAAATTGTGTCTTAGATTTCGAATATTAGCATCGTACCTAAACATTGTTCTGAACAATGAAACGGCATAGCCGATTGGTCATCCTATTCTTTTTCTTCTGCGTCTTGACTACATTCACTCAACCACACTTCCCTGATCCATGCACGGTAACAAGTTGCGGGGTTGATGGACCAGCCATTCGATTCCCCTTTAGGCTCAAAGGAAAACAGCCAGAATGGTGTGCATATAATCCTGGCTTTGATCTTTACTGTAATGAAACAAACCACACGGTGCTCGAGCTGCCCTTCTCTGTCAAGGTTATCGTACGCGACATTGACTATAAAAAACAATTCTTTGCTGTGTCTGACCCTGATGGATGCCTTGCTCATCTCAATTTATCTGCATCGCCTTTTCGGTCAAATGATTATTATGACTCAAGCCGAAATGCGATATTCAATTGCTCAGGGACGTCTCGTAGAGATTCAAATCAATTTCCAAAATTGGGAAACTTCTCTTGTCTCGATGTTGCCGGCTATGAGGTTTTAGCTGTACCATACTTAGCGGATATCATAGCTATCCTCTTCTATCATGCACGAGAATTCCTGGTTATGCATCAGTCCCCGATTCATTTTTCTATGACAATGAGCCTATATATCTATCTTGGCTCGAACCAGATTGCAGAAAGTGTGAGGACCATGGAGGGCAGTGTAGATTGACAGAAAACAAAGTTGAACGTGAACCTGAATGTTTCCAAAACCCTCATACAGGTATAATTTTTTCTCCGATTATAATACCTTCATAAACAGAGTATAAAATCTATTTGTATGTGAAGCTGATATAAAGTTTATTTTAGCAGGTCCATCAAAACAAATAGTACTCACTGGTAAGGATTCTTCAGCCAACAATTCATCATTTCACATAAAAATTGAACATAAAAGTTCCCAAATGAATTTAATACATATTGTATATGTCGCTATATTTGCAGGTGAAATCCTAGGCCCGTTCCTGCTCATGTTTGTTGGGTTTGTTGTTTATTGGGTTACTGCAGCTAGCCTAGAGAGGCAGGGTTACAAAAAAATTAAACTGTTTTTGGAGGATTACAAAGCACTTAGGCCTGCTAGATACTCGTATGCAGATATAAAGAGGATCACTAATCAGTTCAAGGATGAACTTGGACAAGGAGCTTACGGAACTGTCTTTAAAGGGAAGCTATCTAATGAGATTCAGGTGGCTGTGAAGCTTCTCAACACTTCAACTGGGAATGGACAAGAGTTCATCAATGAAATGGAGACCATGTGTCAAATTCACCATGTCAATGTGGCTCGCTTGGTTGGCTACTGTGCGGATGGTTTCAAACGAGCTTTGGTTTATGAATTTTTACCCAATAGTTCATTGCAGAAATTCATAACTTCAGCTGATAGGAAGGACCTTTTCCTGGGTTGGGGAAAGCTTCATGATATTGCTCTTGGCATAGCCAAAGGAATTGAGTACCTTCATGAAGATTGTGACAAACGGATCCTCCACTTTGATATCAAACCTCACAACATTCTGTTAGATGACAAATTCACTCCAAAAATATCTGATTTCGGTTTGGCCAAACTCTGTTCTAAGGACCAAAGCATTGTGTCAATGACAACAGCTAGGGGCACTTTGGGCTATATTGCACCGGAAATATTTTCTCGGAACTTTGGCAATGTGTCTTATAAATCAGATGTTTATAGCTATGGAATGTTACTGCTTGAAATGGTTGGAGGAAGGAAAATCACAGATGTCACAGAAGAAAATGGCGAGCAAGTTTACTACCCACAATGGATTTATAATCTTCTAGAGAACAATGAAGACATACAAATCCATGTGGAAGGAGAGGAGGACACTAAAATTGCAAGGAAGCTATCCATTATTGGACTTTGGTGCATTCAGTGGCATCCAGCAAACCGTCCAACCATGAAAAATGTGGTTCAAATGCTGGAAGGGGACGATGAAAAGCTAATCATGCCTCCTAATCCTTTTGGTTCTTCACATGCAATTAGAACAAGAGCTGCTAATGGAGTAAGGCATTGCAACCAGAGTTATCTACCATTTCAGAAATAGAGTGAAGTTGAGATGGTTATAATGAGCTGTGTTAGATATAAATTTGTGTTTAGGTTGGTAGTCTTTCCTTCTTGTGTATAAAGTTCAAAATAGGATCATAGATAGTTATCCATGAAAAAATTTCTAAACAATTATAAATATGTAAGTTCTACGTTTTTGCCAGTGGCTATAACCAACTTGAAAAAATTGTTGTCCAGTATTTCGTAACTACATGGTTCACTGAAGCTATATATCATGATCTAAGTTCTTTAAAGAATTATATCCTTTTGAATAAAATGGATAGAAGAGAAACTACTGCAAAGGCCTACATATAAGCGAACGGCTTCCCTACTCTGAAGCTTGGCTCACTCTTCACGAACTCATTTTTGGAAGCTTGGACTATCTATGTTGAGGAACTCAAATTATGTCAAATATAACCGAAATTCTTCTCGAAGTGTATAACCACAAAGAAAGCTTAATATTTTAAATCTCTACAGAAAGGGTTGTTGAGATGTGGGAGACAATGGTAAGAGTACACAATAAAAATAGAAATGAGATTCACTTTTACTTTTTTATGAATTTGTATTAGAATTTTACAGTAAAGAATTTTTAAAAAAAGAGTCAATGGAACTTTGTGTGTGCAGTGGCCAATAAAAAATCGATTTTTTGAAGTCTTCATGGACTTTATGAGAGTTTTGTTGTAAAAAACTTTTAAAAAAGAATATAGTCGCTTTCCAACTTTTGAAAATTTGCCTAATTCAATTCTATATAATTTATATAAAGCTTGACTAGGACAGATTTTGGGTGGCTGCAGTCAGTCATTGATGATTAAAGATATTATTAATAACAGTTGACTTGGAGTCAATACCTTGTGCAATTCCACTCCCGTCACGCATTAATAAATGCCGCGAGAATTTTCAACGAAGATGAAGAACATGTTTTGCTTCATTCTAGAACTATATATATAATTAAAGGAATATAAATTAAATAGAAACAAAAAATTGAATTTATATATAATCCAATAAATATTAATTACAAGAAAACTACATTTGCAATGGTTTCTAGGAAAAATTGGTGAGAAGTAAAATATTTATCACCAAAAGTATTTGAAATTTATTTAAAGATATAGGTGCAACTCATTACAACTCTTTTAATAAGTACTAAAAGAAATAGGTATTGCATATGGCTGAAGAAAAATGGCACTCATATGTTGAAGATGAGTTATGCCTACTGAATTCAAGCCATTTTAATCAAAATCTTCTCAAATAAGTAACTTTTCAGCAAATTTTGCTTGCTTCTATTTAATTTCTAATATTTATTGAAAGGAATATATATATATATATATTATACTTCTGAAATTTTTTTTAGTCAGATTATACTATTCTACATATTGTCGGCAAGAATTGATGTTTCGGTAACGATTGATTGGATGGAACCATAAGAAGATGGAAATTAATTTTTTTTAAAAAGCCAAATTATTATATTGACTCCAGGTCAACGACAATTGATGTGCTTCCCTACCACTGAATTCATTATTGGCGACAAACTTTCAACAAAGTGATGAGAAAGATGGACCAAGCAGTTTCTAGGAAAGAGTGACAGTGATTATATATGTAATATTAAATTTGAAACTTAGTTTTATCTTTCCTAACTCGTTTTTTTCATTCAAATCCACTGGATTCCTTATATCATCATGCAAGTTGTATAAACTACGAATTAGAATTCCACCAAGCAGCAAATTCTTTTTAAAAATGAATAACTGTAGAGAAAACTTGTTAATTTAAATTTCCATATACTGAAGAAATAGCTATGTCATAAAAGAGCATGTAAAAACGTGGCAACATAAAAATTTCATTATTTACCAGGACAACAACCTTCTTCCAACAATAACCTACATGTAATCCAGTAAATCAGAGTATTTCAGAAAACATTAAAGATACTAACCATAATGCTAGTTTTACTTATTTGCAAGTAGCTTAATAGAAACACGAATTGTCAGCAGCAACATTTTCTTCTGAAATCTCTCACCAAGTTACATAAATTTAGGGAGGAAGAGCCTCTTGAAGCTCCATTTCTCCCTCAAGCATCTCTAACACATTCTTCATCGAGGGTCGATCATTAGGATACATCTGTATGCAATGTGAAGCTATTATGATCATCTTCTTTGCAATTTCTTTCCTCATCTGAGATATTGCTCCCCTCTATTGATTCCTCAAATTGATCATAAACCCATTTAGCAAAATAGGTCTGCCAGGAATGCTCAATGACATTCGAGTTCTTCCTTCTGCCAGCCATTTCCATTAGTAGCATCCCAAAACTATAAACATCAGCTTTGTGTGATATTCCTCCAATGTTCTTGTACAAGAATTCAGGAGCCATGTATCCAAATGTTCCTCTTGCATTTGTCAGAGACACAATACTATTATCTAATGGGTACAACTTAGCCAATCCGAAATCCGAAATCTTTGGATTAAAATTTTCATCAAGAAGGATATTGTGAGGTTTGATATCAAAGTGTAAAATTTGCACACATCCTCGATGTAAATATTCAATTCCTCGAGGCAATCCAAGAGAAATGTTAAATATTTTCTCGTAATTGATGGGCGTGTTGCTTTGTCTCTCCAAGAATATGTACTTGTCAAGTGATCCATTAGGCATAAATTCATAAACAAGAGCTCGCTTATTTCTTTCAGTGCAGAATCCAATCAGCTGCACCACATTGACATGATGAATCCTGCCAATAGTGGCAACTTCGCTTATGAAATCTTGTGCATTATTGGCTTTGGACTTTGCCAGTAACTTGATGGCTACATCGCGATTGCTTCGAAGCTTACCTTTATACACATAGCCATAGCCTCCTTCACCTAACTTGTGTTTGAAGCCGTTGGTCATTTTCTTGATCTCTGAGTAAGAGTACTTGATGGGCATCAGGTTACTATTATTTCGGAGGAAGTCCTCGACATTGTCATATAAGATTGATGCCTTCTTCTCCATCGAAGAATCAAGAATATTAAAACAAAAAGGTGTACCCAATACAAATTTAGCTCCAGACCAGAGAATCACTGTGCACAAGATTTCAAAAGTAATCAGCATTAAATCAATTCTTCCTATGAAATATAGACTTACATATATATGGTCATATGTATATGTTTAACACATGGAATATAACCAGGCTGAATGTTTGTGTGAAAAGCAGTTTTTCATAGTATGGCCTGTATATTTTCAGTTCTTACATGTATCATGATAGTTTGGTACTTGAAGCTATGCTCTAATCTTACATGAATTCCTCAATGAAGACAGTTCCAGTGAGTAGAGAATAGCCACAATATCTAACGGATGCTTTTATTTATGCAACTGTTGTTGGTTTTGGGATGAAAATAACACGTCTAATTAATAAATTTAATGAAGTGTGAGAAATGAAATTGTAGAAACACGAAAAAGGAAAAAAAAAAAAAACTTGCTTCACTCACCTATATAGATCGCTTCTCCAATAGTAAAGGCTGCGTTGTAAAAATTCAAAACAGAAGTTTCGATTAGATCATCATGAAAATAATTGTTTCCAATATTTTATTTTGTTCTCAAGAATTACATGATATATAAGTAACTGCAAAAGT